TTTAAACATGTTCTCCATGAAGCCGTTCAGATAGTCAATTTCATAAAATCTCGAGCCCTTAACTCGCGTTTATTTTCAAAACTATGCTCTGAAATGGGAAGTGATCATATTCAGTTATTGCTACACACGGGGATAAGATGGCTATCAAAAGGAAAAATGTTGAACAGGTTATTCGAGTTGTGTTCTGAAGTACATGTGTTTTTAATGGAAACCAATTTTAACTGCGTGATCGGTTATTAGATGAATTGTGGCTTACAACACTAGCTTACTTAACAGATATATTTAATCGATTAAATGACCTAAACTTAAGCTTACAAGGTAAATCACATAATCGATTTTATGTAAAGGACAAAATAAATGCTTTTATCAAGAAATGTTATATGATGAAAAATAGTGTTTCAAACAAAGACTTGCAGTCGTTTACCAATTTAGAAAATTTTGTGGTTGAGCATGAAATAAAGATTTAAGATGATCTTACTTTTAACATGAAACAGCATTGGCAAATGCTAATTGATAGTTTTAAAGAATATTTTGACGAAGACTATGCTCAGTTTCTTTGGATACGACAACCGTTTATTTTGGATAGCATTCCTGAATCATTAAAACAGGATGAAAAAGAATCTTTAATAGAACTATCTTGTGATGGAGGCATGAAAATAGAGTTTTCTAAATTAGAATTAGCTGAATTCTGGCTAAATACTAAAAATGAATATCCAGCCTTATCAGAAAAAGCATTGTTATTTTTACTTCCTTTTACGACAACCTACCTATGTGAAACTGGATTTTCTGATATGCTACAACTGAAAAATAAATTTCGCAGTAGGCTTAATGTTGATCTAAATTTACGAATGAAACTAAGCACAATTGATCCTGATATCGATTCACTTGTTGTAGCTATGCAGAACCATCCTTCTCACTGAATTTTTGGATTGGGTCAGACTGTAAGTTTTATTTTGTAACATTTATAATGCCCTTTTTTAAATAAATACATTTTTGCCAAAATTAGTAAATTTTATTATATACTTTTTTAATCGGTGGTACGCGATTGACGCAGAATTTATGTAAGTGGTACGTGTAAAAAAAAGTTTGAGAATCGCTGGTTTAGATAGAAAAAGTCGATTAGCGAAAGATGGTTTCCGACAAATGTGAACGCTATTTTAAATAGCATAAATTTCAATTTTGTTTGGAAAACCAATGATTAGTAAAATGGTTAATTGCCTTTAAATAGTCATTCATTAATATCAGAATATTTTCGTTTAGTCGATTATAAGGGAGTGAAGAAATCTGACACAGTTGTTTTTTGCAAGAGTGAATACACATATACATATTTGGCAAAAATTTTGCATGGCATCATTTATGCTATGATGATTATCTTGAGTAGTGCCGCTAAAATAATTTTGTGACAGTAACCCAAGACAAATATAGGCGCATATTCTGCTTCGAGTTTAATATAGAATTAAAGTTACCTAAGAGCAATACCGGTAAAGTATGTGATGCAATAAATATAAAAATTAATAATGAAGCTGACAAATAAATTGCAGATATTGAAAATTGATATGGAGTTACATCAAAGACGTACCTAGGCCATGCAGGATCTAATGAAACACACTTTGACCTACAACAGGCTATGACAGTGTCAAATTTAACAGTGGAAGTAGCAATATATTCAGGAAAGACATTGGTTTATAACCTTGGCATCCATGACTGTATTGGTGAAAAGGCCTACGTGTACATGTGACCAGAAAACATTGTTAAGAGAGGTAGCGATGAAATTGCCAGAATTTTATATAAACATTTTCGAACTAATAAACCCACTGCTGATAAGCTTATAGTGTACACGGATAACTGCAGTGGCCAAAACAAAAATTGGTCTCTATGGCAACAGCTTATTATAGGAGGAATTTTCACATGTGACCGTGATTTCGCAGCAAGTGAAAAGTATAAGCGTCATCAATTAAATAAGTGTATACTCCTGACGATTGGTACAAAGCAATGAGAAAATGTAAAAGAAGAAACTGCTTGAGGTAACTAACTGTATTGAAACAATCTGATTTTTTTTAAAGAATTACAAATAAGAAAATTACATAAAAGATTTGTTTACGGATAATCGTCATATTTCTATGAGAGCTCTTGATCTGAATGGACCAAAAATATTGAAAAGTGAGGTGATGAAAGCTATAGATCAAACGAAAGATGGGAAAGCAACAAGTTGCTATGAAATACCAGTCGAATTTTTAAAAGTTTTTAACGAGAACAACCTAAATGTAGTATTGAAACTGTTTAATAAGATATACGATACTTGTCAAATTCCAACTGACTGGTTGAAATCTACATTTGTGCCCCTTCCCAAGAAATCCAATTCTAAGACGTGTAGTGAATATCGCCTTATAAGTTTAATGAGTCACACCCTTAAAGTATTCTTGCGTGTTATTCATTCCAGAATACGAGCAAAATTAGAACACAGCATAAGTAAAACACAGTTCGGTTTTACATGCGGTTTTGCAACTCGACAGCCCCTCTTTGTAATACAAGTCTGGATTCAAAAATGCCTGGATCAACAGAAAGATGTTTACGCCTGTTTTATTGACTATGAAAAAGCATTCGATACTATCAAACATGACAAACTCATAGAACTATTGCATCTTACAGGACTTGGCACTAAAGACATCCAGATTATAAAAATCTATATTGGAATCAAAGATCCCACATTGAAGAATGGACATATGGTGAGTGAAAACTTAACCATTTCGAGAGGGGTTAGACAGAGCTGTGTTCTCTCGCCACTGCTTTTCAACCTGTACACGGAACAAATATTTCTAGAGGCACTGGAAGAGTACAACGAGGGCATCAAGATTAATGGCGTACCAGTAAGTAATTTTCGATATGCAGATGATACTGTTATACTGGCCGATAACATCGAATATTTACAGATGATTCTAAATAGAGTAAATACAACTGGCAACCGATTTGGACTGAAGATTAATAGAAAGAAAACTAAATTTATGGTGATCAGTAAAAAGAACATTTAACATATCGACCTGAATATCGAAGCCGAGCGTATTGAAAGAGTACACCGATTTAAGTATCTGGGATATACAGTAAATGATAAGTGGGACACAGATGTAGAGATTAAGATACGAATTAAAATAGCAAGATCCAAATTCATTAAAATGAGAGAGCTCTTAAGCAACCGCAGCCTAAGCGTTAACCTCCGATGATACGCCACGAAATGCTACGTACTCCCTACGCTTCTTTACGGAGTAGAAGCAGACACGTCGCCCGAATCAGTGATGAAAGGTAGACGAAGAGATTGCTTGAGTGGAGACCGAGGTTAAACAAAAGAAGTAGAGGAAAACCCCCTACTCGTTGGACTGACGATCTCAAGAAAATGTCAGGAAATTGGATGAAAAGTGCTCTAGATAGGGCAGAATGAACAAAAATGAGGCAGGCCTCAGGATGTCCAGCAGTGGACGCAAAAGGCTGGGTGACGATAATGATGAATAGATTCTACCAAATGATGATAATGAACCATTAGAAGACATTGAACATTTTGACGACTTTTCACATATTAAAAATATTGACAACTGAATTTTTTTTTGTTACATTTTAGGTTCATTTTTTAGAATACATTTTTTTAAACAAAAAGGAATAAACTTCATATTTTTTCGAAAAATGTTCAAAACTCAAAAACCTTCAAATACACATTTGTGTTACTTTTATTGTGTATTTAGTAACATATTTCCAAACGATTGTGAACCTTACTTCCGAAAAAAATTTTAAAATTGGATTTCAAGGCTTTGAAAATAAGTCTAAAATGATGCTTTCTTCAAAATATTCTCATCATCATCATCCTTATTCATTTAACGCCTTTATCGTTAAAATGGAACAACTATCACAGAAGATATAATAAAGTGTCCTATTAGCATTATCTTTTTTAGCTGTTTTTATTTTAACATATTCGTAAAACCCCTCCCCTTTTATTTAACCTGTTACATGTAGCAATCTGACTAATAGAAACGGAGATATGTTATAATGCCGTTTCGGCAATGTCTTTGTGTCTGTTTTTTATCTTGACGTATTCATTATCCTCTCACCTTTCGTTTGACGCCTTATACGTTGCAATCGGATCAATAGCAACGAAAATACGATATAGTGCAGTTTTGGCATTGTTTTTGCGTTTGGTTTTTGTTTGGAAATATTTGTTACCACCTCCCCTTTCCATCAATACCTTGCACGTTGTTGTACGTTGTACGTCTTATTGGCCATATGCCACCGTTTTTTTCTATCTACGTATTTGTTGGTTACTCCCCTTTCCATCGATACCTTGTATGTTGTTGTACGTTGAGCCGTTTAGACGTTACTTCTATGACCAACACATATTTTTACCGGAGACCGGAAGTACAATAACAACTTTACAATGAATTACTTGTTCGTCGTAGATAAAATATAGTATGCCACTCATTACGGTTTCCACACGTCTGTCATATGTTTCCATATGTCTATCATGCTTGTGTCATATCCCCAGCGTCGGTGTAGCTTCGTTCGCACATTAGCTACAGTAAAGCAAAAGAATTGACAGTTGATAGACGAAAAAAAATTGACTGACCGACAGTTAAAAAAATGATTCCGGTCCTGGCTAAAGTTCATACTCGGCTGGTAATGTAGATCCAATGCTTACCGACATTGGCGCCAGTGACGTTAGAGTGGACATGTCTGGCGTCTGGCGGCCTGTCTTGCGCAAACGGCCCATACTCTACTCGCCGCGATTTTTGAAGCATATTTACAAAAACATAGCAAGTTCGATAATATATTTTTTTGTAATTATGATACATTCTAGTAACGATCTATAAAGAATACTGAAATTGGTTTTATAAACAACAAATTACCATTGAACAGCTATTATTTCGGTGTATGTTACAACAAATTGCTTTTATATACAAATTAAATATTGTGCAAACTGGAGACATAACTTTTAAAGAAGATATAATAAAAAAGCTTACTTGGAATTCTTGGAGATCCTTGTTTATATTCGGACACCTGCAACATAAAATATTTACGTTAAAATCACCAGTAAATCAAGTAATATCTATAATATAAAAAAATAGGTATGCAAACACTTTATATTTTTTGTTAAATTACATAAAATAGGAATTTTGATATAATTATTTTAAAGACAATTTAAAATTATTATGTATAATTGATACTATCAATTTCCTATGCCAATTTCCAATACCTATTGGAATATAAAAAAGATTGAGCTCTGAGAGGGCTATGGAGTTCTAGGTGACCGAGTATTTATCTTCCACCAATATTCTGACGTATTTGAATATGGCGAGCAGTTCCGCTTTTTGAAAATTTTTATGAAGATGTTAAGCAAGAACAAGCCTTGTGCTCTTTTTAAATGACACAAGTAGTTATTTAATAGAATGATAATAATATAAATATAGAATAATAAAAATTCTCCACTATCAGTGGCAGATCTAGAAATTTGCCTGGGAGGGTGAATTTCCAACACGGGGTGGGGAAAATTCCAGAGAAATACCAACCAAAACACATAAAAAGAATAAACTCAAATTACATAAAACACATAAATAATGGGTTTTCTTTAATTTTGGACTTTCTTGAGGGAGAAATTTCCCTTTTTTCATCCACCATCTATGTGCTCTTGGCAGTATCGATATACATAGACACTTTCTATCTTCCATTGTCTTATTCTCTGTACCTATTATTGTTATTATACGATTTACGATTCTTTATAAAAATATAACACAATTAAAAAATAAAAACTATAATTAACATTGAAAATAAGGTATCACAACTAAAATGTTTTATTACTTATCTAATTATTTTTATTACAGTTCCCAGTTTTTATTGAATTCAATTTAGGGCAAAAAAAATGCTGAAAGTTTTACTCACAAACTTGAAAACGAGGAATAAACGTCAAGGGAGAGTACCTTGAATCAGACAGTCCTTGAATGTTACACGTTCAAAGAATACTGTAAATACTGTAAATTATCCAATATCCCAATCCAGGATCACCACTTTCATAAGGTAGTTCGTCAAACTCACATTTTTACATACAATTAATATTAGTAAAATACATTGATAATAAGTTGCCAGTCCAAAAACGGCCGCAAATATTTTTAGTTTAATTAATAGTAATTAATTTTTGACAAATATTGTAGCTTTTTCATTTATATTTTAAATAAAATAAAAAAATAATGGATTATTTAATCGATATAATTGATCTAATGAAAATCCACATGTTAGTAAAGAAGGTTATTTCCAACATAATTGGAGCTTTAATGTTTTTTGTGCAATAAAATAAGATAAAATTTTAGCATCAAAACTTTATAATCAAAATTTAAATGGCGAAAACTATTGCCATATTTAGAAGCAGCGATACGACCCTACATTACATACTTTAAAAATGGATTGGCGGTTTCAGCTTGATATCAGCAAGATGTAGCACCTCTCATATTTTTGGGCGTGTTGCTCAGCATCTTTACACATACAACATTATTGTTGTATGTGTACAACAGTAAATTTACTGTTTGTATTTTTAGAACGATTTCCGAAGTGGAAATTGAAACGTCAATAAACGTATTTTATCTTTAATTGTGGCTTATTCCCAGTTAAATAGTAATTAATACTAATTTTATTTTATAAAAATTTTTAAGCACGTAGGTATCTATGGTAGATGCACTAAAAAAGGTGACGAAACAGCTATTGTTAATTAACTTACACATTTTGTGAATATTAAATAAATAGTAGTGTATATTTTGTTTTGAAAATTTCTTCGAGTGTATGGAGACTCCATCCACTTTTACTTTTCCATTTATTTTGTGACCAACTTTCAGCTTCTATTAATTTTAAAGCGATGAAAATGCTGGGGCTTGTTTAATTTACACTATTTGCAGCAGCCAATGAAAAGTTTTTTCATTACGACATTCCAATAAGGCCATCGTTCATCAAGCAATTGACAATAATAACATCGTACTTGGTAAGACCTTCATTTATACGTGGGATGATTTGATATATAATTATATTAAGAAGGGTAAAGCCCTAACTAACCTTTCCTGGATGCTTGCGGCTATTTAAATTTCTTAGGTAAGACAGAAATTCGTCTTAATTTTGACCGCGCCAAATAATTTCGTTTTGCATATATTTCTTTATGGTTTAAATTTTTAATGCAAATGTATAACTAACTAGTTAGTAACTAGTTTTATTATCAAAATACATTGTAAACATTAACAATCATCAATTAAATTAGTCAATAAATCATAGAACTTTGTAACTTTGGTGGATTGTTGGAAATTAGTTAAAGTAAACATTGCAAAAAATGTTTCTACAGAAAAATGTTCCTCTTATTGGAAAAAAAAGTTGTAGATGCTGTAGATTTATTTCATTTGCATAAGATATTAGTAACACGACAGTTTTTCTAGAAAATCTAGTGTAATGAAAGGAAATACAGTCAAATATGATTAATGTGCAAAAAGTGAGGTTAAGTCAGCAGAAATTTCATCATTGAAGCCAAATGAAATTATTCGCTCCGTGCGTGACCATGGTAGGGGTACATTGAAACGACGCCAGCGTGCATAGCGGCGAAATATGACAAAATTGTAATATTGGACAAAATATTTTACGCATAAATTTTATCAAAAATGTGTGCAAATACATGTTGCGTATTTAATTGTGCTAATAATATCAAACATAGTGAGTGTAGTTTTTATAGGTTCCCAAAGATTACATATAAATTAGAGAAAAGAAAAAGATAAATTCCTGCTATTAATATGAAAAAGTAAATATCACATAATTTCATTTTTGCGCAATTGAAATAGAAAAAATTTAAATAATTTACCTTGAATGATATTTCATAAGGCTTCAAGCTAACTGCAGATAACTTTAGCTTTTATATCATAACTTTTACCATTATTGTTTTTAATTATATGCTCTTTTGCGTGAAAAACTTGATTTGACAGTACTAGATTTTTCCCTATGTCTTACGTTTGGAGTTAAAAAGATATATTAGGTAATGAATTTTGAGAAACCCAGTTTTTAATACTACATTTATTTTGTACATAAACTGAAAAAATATAGTTAAAAAACTAATTTATTAATAATTGTCAATTTCGCATATATTTAACAATGTCAAACATATGTCATATGTTTAACCTGAAAATTGGGACTCTAAAATTGTCAGAAAAAGGCGGTAGGTGTCGTGTCAGTCACGCACGGAGCGAATAGAGTTTTAAAAATCTTGTCAAAAGATAAACGAATCTGTGATTTTCCTAAGGAGTAAATTTAATTCTCTTATGTTGGAAAACATAAAAAAAAGTGCGCTAAGTACAAGAACTGTGAGATATAAAGAAAGAAAATAGTCAAATAAAATACTCGTTCAAATTCCACTGTAGAATAGACTTGAATGTGAACTTATGTAGAAGGTTCTATGAAGGAGTAGCTATCGAGCTAAGGTTTTAGTTGTCTAGTAATTGAATTAAATATTTTAGTACACCTCGATTTCTTTTTTTTTGTATATAATGTGGAGATATATTTATTTTAACAAATTAAGTAATCCTTATGTGTCTTCTGTATAAGTTTTAAATAAACTCACTGTATCTGGAAGTTCTAAACTATTTTCAAAAAAAACAGTTACTTGTTCAAAATTTAATATCGGTGCTATTATTTTATTAGTAATGAAATATTTTACAGTTTCCCTATTGTCAGCAATAGTCTCAGAATTGTTAATAGTTCTGAATTTTTGAAATACTGGTATTGGTTTTGTAAAATTTTCCCTAAGTTCTTGTAAAGGTGGGATTAGAATTTTATCAAGTCTGCGCTTGGCTGTGTTTGTTTCCTTATAAGTTGTATTAGTTATTTTAAGTGTATCAATAGTATGTATTGATATATTGAGAGGGCATGCAAGTGTGGTAGATGTATAAGGTCGTGAAACGTTAGGTATTGTTGATAACTGGGTAGTTGTTATGGTTGTATCTGTGTTGTGTTTGAGAACTTGGAAATTATGTTTTGGGATCGTAATAATGGTTTAGTGAAGGGAACAGGATTGTAATGAATTGGAATTCGCAGAATATGCTGGTGTGGTAGGTCATGTGGAAGAGTATTAACTACTGTATTTATAGTAGTAGCTTGAGCACTTGGGCACAGATCTTTCCAAACAATCACGTTTAGTTTCACCGCAACAATGTTTTCGATTTGTAAGTACCATTATATGTTAATTATTTATAAAAAATCGTAGTGTAACAGTAATTTAGCTCTCCAAATGTATGTGCATCGGTGTTCCAAATGGCGAACTCCTTATATTCAAACTTGTGTAAATGTTTCTCAAAGATTATTAGAAACAGGTTCTGTGGTATTAAAAAAAATTGCAAAAGAACCAGAATATATGTTGAGTAAATGTAGAAGACAACATGTTAAATGCTGTGAAAAATAATCCAAATGTAACTTCATAAACGGTAGCTAAAATGGTAGGAATGTCAGAAAATGTTGTTCACAGAACATTTCGGTAACAAATTTTACATCTATACCACTATCAGAGAGTACAAAATTTATATCAAAGTGATCTTCTTCGAAGATTTACATTTTGTAGGTGGTTTCAAGATAAACTCCTCAGAGAACCTTAGTTTCCTTCTAAAGTATAATGTGCGAATGAAGCATGTTTCTTGAGAAACAGTGTGTATAATTATTATAATTGCCACATATGAGGCCCTATTTAATAAGTAGGTCAAATTTTACACAAAAATTTAGCACATATTTATCGAATGAAATAATTAACAATCATGTGATACTAAATTGAGAAGCCTATTATAATTTCTTGCAAAATGTTTTGCCGGTACTTCTTGAAGAAGTGCCTTTGAAAACATGCTGTGAAGTTTAGTTTCTTCACGATGGAGTCCCAACACATTTTACGAGAGCTGTTAAAAATCTTCTTGATGCCACTGATCCTCGTTGTTGGATTGGTAGAAATCGACCCATTTTGTGTCACGAATATGAAACCTAGAAGCATTCGAAATGTGGTG